AAGTTATTTGCGTTTTTACGTTGAATAAAATGCCGTAATAAAAAATATGTATTTCTATTTAAAAAAGCAAAGTTGACCTTGTTCTGACCTTGGCGACGCCATCCTATGTCAAATAACTACTATTGTTGAATGCGTTTGTTTAAGCCTTACAACTTTTGTTTGAAACATTTTTCGCTCCCGTGCTTGGTTTTCGACATATTCGACTGGATGGATTAAAATGGTCCACCCTGTATATATAAAATGTGGAAATCATTTCATGGAAACAGATCATTGAATTAATTTTAAGGAAAAGTAGACGAAATCTTATGAACCCAACAAACACAATGTTACATGTAACGTACATATTAGTTGTAATTTCCTACTCAACAATATAACTGTTATATAACACGCATGTTATACAACAGTTATATTGTTGAGTAGAAAATTACAAGTAACATGTACGTTACATGTAACATTGTGTTTGCTGGGAATATTCTTCGTACACTTTTCCTTAGAATTAATTCAACGATGTTATTTCCAGAATTTGCGTTAGTAAAAGCACATTTAGTAAAAAATAATGAAATATTTTTATTTGAAGCACAGATCATGGATCTTGGATAAGTAAATAAAGATTTACATATATCTTTTTTGGGATTATCATATATCAAAAAACAGAAACATTACTGTGATTTTTACAAAAATATATCTTGTTATTGTTTTCATTAATATATGAAGTACAGGCATATCGTAAAAACATTTTATTGCACAAAACAATCTAGTCGTAAAAGAAAAATACTTGTTTAACCCACTGTATGTTAACAAAAAGTTATTTATAATCATATATAGCTTGACTATCATATATACATATCTGCATACATATAAATACATGTATACAGATAAATATATATTAAGATATTTCGTTATACATTTACTCATACAGCACAAATCTTCAAAGAACGTTCTGGAAACATTATAGGGATGTAAAACATCTATTTACCACGTCTCTCGAATCTCCGTCTTGTCTAGCAATTAATATTTGAGTGTACTATGTACATGTGTATATAAAAACAATTAATATTTGAGTGTCTATGTACATGTGTATATAAAAACAAAATAACTAAAAATACCTAAGACATATAATATATAAAACCTAAAAACTTAAAAACCTAAAAACATAATATATAAGAACATATATATGTCCAAATATAAAATAGCTGTACTTTCACTTCTTGGCTCGCGCTCATCTCATGTAAACAAAAGGCGCGAGCCAAGAAGTGGGGAGCTCGCTCTCATCTCATGTAAACAAAAGGCGCGAGCCAAGAAGTGGGGAGCGCTCGCCTGGGCGAGCCTTAAGCTCACCAATTACGTATTTTTATACCGAATACGTATAAAAAAAAATGACGATGAATGTAAGAAACATTTTAAAATTGTTACAAGAAGCTTTTAATTATCCACAATATAATATTGATTCAGCTGTTAATGATGATGAGAGAGCTTTTGCGTCACAATTGGAGAATATAATTAAAGACTCCATTGATTCTGCCTTGATATTTGAAAGTTATACCACTTTATGTTGCGAAGATAATACTGCGCTTCCTGAAATCCATGCAATTGAAGAAGATTTCCATGATGATTATAACGCTATTATTAATGATAATAAAAAAGTTAAAAACATGATAGATTTTGAATATAAAGAAAAAGCTGTTCAATATTGGCATTCTGGTACAAAGAAAAATTTAAAATTTGAATGTGTACGAAGTAAATTTAAAAAAGTTCAAAATATTACAATGTTATATAGATGGGAAAAGCAAGTAAAAGAAGGTGGCACTAGAAACGAAAAATTATTGGAAATTAGCAAATATGTCATGAAACA